AAAAAAAAAAAAAAAAAAAAGGGTGGGGAGGAGATCTTCCTAACAGCAATTATTGAACAATTCCTTTTAACCCAAACTTCAAAAATAAGTCTACAGTTCTGGAATAAGAAGTAGTTTTGATTTTGAAGATACTTGATGGGAGGCAACTTTTAAACAGAAAACATCTGGTTAAAATTCCCTTGAACTTCAAAAGGGACTGATCTGTAGCCATGGTAGCAATGAGCCACCCAGAACCAGTTTTAAATATAGTCAATCAATGACCACTGGCCTCACCAACCAATGTCAGCAGCTTCCTTCTGAAGGCCAGCCAGTCAGACACACTCACAGCAATAAACATGCCTGGGAGTGCCAAGCAATCAACAACTGTCACTCAACCACACTGGTACAGATATGTCAACTCACCTATGCTTCTGAAAGTCTGACAATCCTTAAACTCCACTCTTCCCCAAACCCCATATATGATCGAGAGCCGCTGTCACAAGAGACTGTGCCTGACTAGCTCTCTTACTATAGAAAGTAAGACATTCAAAGTGTGTCTTAATCCTTTGGCAAGAATTTTTTTTTTTTTTTTTTTGAGATAGAGTCTCACTCTCACCCTGGCTAGAATACTGTGGCATCATCACAGCTCACTGCAACCCCAAATTCCTATGCACAATTGATCCTCCTGCCCCAGCCTCCCAAGTAGCTGGGACTACAGGCACACAGCGCCACACCCAGCTTTTTCTATTTTTTAGTAGAGACAGGGTCTTGCTCTTGCTAAGGCTGGTCTCGAATTCCTGACCTCAAATGATCCTCCCGTCTTAGCCTCCCAGAGTGCTAGGATTACAGCCATGAGCCATCGCGCCTGGCCCTGGAAAGAATTTTTTAAGTCCATTCGATTTGCCATCCTTATACTGGATTTTTCTTAATAACATACAAATGAAGTTTGCAATTCCTTTGATCCATCTTACCATAATTAAAACTATCATAATTACCAGTGTAAGAATAAATAATGAGTAACCACAATATTGGGTTTTTCTCCATAAATGGAAAAACATTAATATAGAGAATATAGAGTATTAGAAAGAGCCAACAGACTCCCAAAAATGCATGCAACGGCCAGGTAAAATTGACAGAATGAACCCATGCCAAACTGTTTCATCGGTGAGAACTAGTCTAATGTTTAGGGATAACTTTGGAAATCATTAGCATATGCAACATAGTGAATGCACTCATTTAACAAGTATTTATTGAGTAGGATCTAGGCCCTCTTCTAGGCACTGAGAATATGGCAGTGAATAGACAAAAATTCTACTAACGAGAGTGAAGTGGAAACACAATAAAAATAAACAAAATAGGTAGGAAAACTATATAGTATGTTAAAGGAGAAAAACTAAAGCAGGAAAATGAAATTTGTATGCATTGAAGGGGAGGGGTGGTAGACATATTAGGGTGGCCAGAAAAGGCCTTGCTAAGAAAGTGGCTTTATAGTAAAGAACTGAAGGAATGGAGGCAGCAAGCCGGCAGGATACCTGAGGGGAAAGCATTCTGGGTAGAGAGAACTGCCAAGTACAGAGGTGAGCCTGGAGTCTTTAGGGAAAAGTGAGAAGTTCAATGTGGCTGGAGCAGAGCAAAAGGGACAGAAAAACAGAAGTTTAAGTCATACAGACAACAGAGTCAGATCATGTACTACTGCCTTTTAGGTATTAGGACAAACTGAAATATACTGAGTGAAATGGGAGGCAATTAGAAGATTTTAAGCAGAGGAATGACATAATCTGACTTATGCTTTAATAGGTCCACTGGGTTAAGAATTGATGGTAAAAGGATTTTTAAAAAAAGAAGAAGAAACAAGAAACCCAATTTGCAGTCTATTACACTCCTCTAGACAGCACATGGTGGTGGCCTGGTCACGGCAGATGTGACTTGCTTCTGGATATATTTTGAAGGCAGACCTGATGACAACCAAGATTTGCTGACAGATTAGATGTCAGGTGTCAGAGAGAGAGAGAGGGAGTCAAGGATGACACCAAAGTTTTTGACAGAGCAACTGGCAGAGTTGCCATTAACGCAAGTAGGAAAGACTGCAAGCAGGGAGGTATGAGGAAGAACATCAGTAGCTCAATTTTGGACTTGATTAAATCTGTGATACCCAACAGCTAACCAAAGAGAGATGCCAAGTAGGCAGTGTGGTACACAGGTCTGGAATTAAGGAGGGAGATCTGGGCTGGAGAGATAACTTTGGAAATCATTAGCATATGCAACGTAGTAAAAATCATGAGAAATAAGATTGAGGACTGAGCCCCAGGACACATCAATGTGTAAAAAGGGGAGATGAGGAGAAGCACACAAACCAGACTGGGATGGATGGACTACAAAGGCAGGAGGAAAAACCAGGTGAGTGAGTGACATCCTGAAAGCCAAGTGAAGAATGGGTTATGGAGGAGAGAGTTTTCCATGGGGTCAACGATTATATAGTATATTTTAACACTTGAAACATTTTCTAAATTACATATATATATAACATTTTTTTAAATGCCAGACTAAGGTATAAAATATTAAATTCATAAAATTATGGTACAAAAAGACCCCTTGAACATTTCTATATTATATAAACTGATTATCATTTTGCTCATGCTTATCAATAAAGACTAAAAGTTTCAAGGGCAGTATTCCTTGCTTGGTAAAAATCATCTAACTCTAGGATTTATATACTCAACAAATATACAAAGTAATCATATTCAGCTACTGGATTCTATAAATGGAATAAAAGGGGAGAAATGTAGAAAAGAATCTTACTTTGTAAAACTGATTTTTTGTAAATTATATAACATGAAGCCACTGTTGGAAAGCATGCTGTGGTGCATATTTAAATACAGTATTTTTAACAGGAAGGATGTTGGCATGCATGCAGGGTACCTTTAAAAAGCAGATTCACTGCATTAGCAGCACCTTGGTTTTAGCACGGGGTCAGCAAATCAGTGCTTTTGGGCCAAATCTGCAAGCCTGCTTGAATGAGCAAAGTTTTACTGGAACACAGCCACGCCCATTCACTTACCATCTATGATAGATTTTAGACTACAACAGAGACCTTATGGTCCACAAAGCCTAAAATATTTACTATCTGGCTCTTTACAGAAAAAGTTGGCTAACTCCTAGTTTAGTAGATCAAAGATCCTTTGATGTATTTTTAATAAGTTTTATCCAATATACTGAAATGTTTCTATGAAATATGGATTCCTATGTACAATTCATTGGCAATATTCAGATTAATTTGAGGGTTCAATATTTAAGCACTCAAGCATTGAGAATAAAAACCAAAAACTTAATAACTAGCAATTTTGTTGGTAACAAGGTAGAGTGACATGGTAGCATGTAGCTTCCTTTTGCAACTCAGCAGATATTACAAGAATTCTAACAAAATCTGCTTAAGATGTGTCATCAAACTAAATGCTTTAAATATGTTTGGGGAAATAATCAGTACACTACAGATCGAACCTTATTTTTTTAAGTGGTTGCATGTTATGGGTGTGACAATTTAACTACTTTCTTATTCATGGGTATTTTCTTTTTGATGTGGCAATGCTATAATAAATATTCTTAACATACATATACATGTAATGTCATATTTACATAAATATCCTTTATATACATCACACACCCTTAGCATAATGTTATATATATATTATATATATGCTTATTGTATGTTATATGTAACATATAATTAATGTCCTTAACATATGTTTACACGAGTCATGTTTTCCTGTAGGATCTTGTCCCAGAAGTGAAGCTGTTAGGTTAAAATAACAATCTTAGAAATTTTGATACATGCTACTAAATTACCCTTCAGTAAGGATTTACCAGTTTCATTTACCAACAGCGTACAAGAATGCCTTTTCCCTCCCATTTACCAATGCTGGTTATTATTTTTGTAGTAAAATATCAGTATGATTGGAAAAAATGATATCTCATTGTTAATTTTCATTTTTCTGATTACCAAGCAAGGCTGAATATCCCTAATGAAAGTATAAAATTTGTTAATCATAAATATTAGCCCAATTTAGAATTAGTTTTACGCTACAATAAAAATTATCTACTGGTAAATATTGCTATAGTCCTACCTATCACACTTTTCCTTCTCCTTCCTAGTAAATTGCTGATCGTCAGTTTTTCCACTCTTTCTTTGTTGAATGAATCCACCATCAGCAGCAGCAGCAGCACCATCGTATAGGTTTTCTGATACTTCCATTTCCTTACTTTTGTGCTTCTTCCTTTCTTCTTCAACCTTTAATGAAAGTTTGATACTAAGGATAATTGTTATTACTTTACTCAACAAACAGAACTTTTTTCTTTTCGTTGAATTTACCACTTGACTCAGTTTAATTGTCATGATTTTAGTCACTAAAAATATTTTCTGCCTACTTTAATTTTATCATTATATATAATCATAGACAGTCATACAATTATTATAATTTTCTCATTGAAATTTTTATAAATTCTGCTTCATTTCTGTCTGAGTGAATGAAACAGAATTTTCCAAAATTTCCAAAAGGACTCGTTAATATTGTGCTTTTATTCCCATCCACTGTTAATTATCTAATTTGAATTTTCACTCTGTTGGCAGAAACAGAGAAATAAAAAGACACAAAACATGTTGTCTTCTGCCTTTAATTCCTGGATTTTACATTAATCAGCCAGATTTAAAGGATGTGACATTGTGGGGCTTCCCCTCTCTGCACTAAATTATTCTTTTCCCTACTGCCTTCTATCATTCTTTTTTCATTTGGATCTTGGGATATCAAAAAAAGAAGGTGCTCACTGAAATATAGGAACTAAGGCTTGCCACAACACAAGAAGCAAAGTGAAACTGCTGAGTTGCTAGTGTGGAATTCTGGAAAATGAAATGCTTCCCAAATTTCACATTCAGTAGCCATAAAATTATATAGCTGGAGGATATACATTATAAGTAATTATCTACTTTAGCCCTGTTATCTACTGATAATGGGAGTAAAACCAAGAAAGATTAAACGATTCATCTGAAGCTTCTGAAGTGGCATTACCTAGCATTTATGGTACCAAAAGAGATGATACAATTCCATAATGCTGAACCAGATAAATTACCAGACAAGTTCATCAAATTAATCAGATAAATTAAAAGTGTGACTTTGGCAAAGTCATTTAGTGCCTTGGTGGTGGGATGGGAGGCTTCGTCTGCTTTTGTTTTTTACATTTTTTATTTTTAATTATTCTCGGTACATAATAGTTATATATATTTATAGGGTTCATGTGATGTTTTGATACAGGCATACAATGTTAATTAATTAAATCAGGGTAACTGAGGTATCCATTAACTCAGGCCTTTATCATTTCTTTGTGTTAGGAACATTCCAATTCTACTCTTTGAGTTATTTTAAAGTACACTCTAACTTACTGTTGATTATAGTCACTTTGTTGTGTTCATCTGTCCAACTATATTTTTGCACCCACTCACCATCTCCACTTTTTCCACCCCCTCCCTGCTACCCTTTTAAAGAAGAATACCTCTAGATTTTTGTCTATCTTTAAAACTCAATGTACAGAACTCAAATTTTTTTTTTTTTTTTTTTTTTTTGAGACAGAGTCTCACTCTGTTGCCCAGGCTAGAGTGTCGTGGCGTCAGCCTAGCTCACAGCAACCTCAAACTCCTGGGCTCAAGCGATCCTCCTGCCTCAGCCTCCCAAGTAGCCAGGACTACAGGCATGTGCCACCATGCCCGGCTCATTTTTTCTATATATTTTTAGTTGTCTGATTAATTTCTTTCTATTTTTAGTAGAGACGGGGTCTCGCTCTTGCTCAGGATAGTTTCGAATTCCTGAGCTCAAACAATCCGCCCGCCTCAGCCTCCCAGAGAGCTAGGATTACAGGCGTGAGCCACCGCGCCCAGCCTCAACTTTCTATTTTGGAGTCAAATACTAAATTCTGGCTAAGGATTTATGCTACTTATATGATAAAATCATGCATGCCAAAACCTACCCTACTTTATTAAACAACATAATGTAAAGGTCTTATTCAACAGAAACATTTGGGAGTGATGATTTAAAAAAAATGTGTTGTTGGTTTTTTTTTTAATTTTTGGATATAGGATCACTCTGTCACTGAGGCTTGGAGTACAGTGGCATGATCATGGCTCACTACAGCCTCAAATTCCTGGGCTCAGGCAACCCTTCAGCCTCAGCCTCCCCAGAAGCTGGGACTGTGGGTGCATATCACCACGCCTGGCTAATTTTGTTTTGTTTTTTTTTAATCTTTTGTGGAGACAGGGTCTCTATTTTGCCCATGCTGGTCTCAAACTCTTGGCCTCAGGTGATCCTCCTGCCTAGGCCTCACAAAGTGATGGGATTGTAGGATAAGCCAACATGCCCAGCCAGATTTTCATTTTTATTTTTATTTTCTGAGACAGAGTCTTGCTCTGTTGCCCAGGCTATAGTGCCATGGCATCAGCCTAGCTCACAGCAACCTCAAACTTCTGGGCTCAAGTGATCCTCCTCCTGCCTCAGCCTCCCGAGTAGCTGGGACTATAGGTGTGTGCCATCTCGCCCAGCTAATTTTTTCTATTTTCATTGCCAAGCTAATTTTTTTTCTATTTTTTTTAGTAGAGACAGGGTCTCACTCTTGCTGAAGCTGGTCTCGAACTCCTGATCTCAAGCTGTCCTCCTGCCTCAGCCTCCCAGAGTGCTAGGATTACAGGTATGAGCCACCGTGCCCAGCCCAGATTTTTATTTTTAAAAAAGGAAATATAGAACTGATTAAAAAGAACACTATATTAAAAAATATATGTATCTGTTGTCAAAAATATTTGAGGTACCATGGTAGAATCGTAAGTTCCAACAGTTTGAGATAAACAGACAAACCTGCACACATAAAAGCACAATAAGGAGGTTCCTTTAGCTGGGAATATCTGTTGCAAATCTCAAAGCTAGACATAGTTTTATATCTCTTCTCAGTCACTGCTTGCTTCCCATTGTATTCCCATTTTATTGTTTAAATAAATGAAATTTATCTTTAAGTACGTAAGGGAAGAAAACCCCTAGAGCTTATTACCCTTTTTTTTAGCAATTACGTTTATGCTTAACCTGGTTTAGAAGGTCACATGGTATATGGCTAGTTTCCCAGCTCATATGCCACTTGAAAGACTGATAGAAAGACTTAGGTTGATTAATGAACAAAGATTCTGAGAATGTTTTCCTGAACTCCTATCATTTAGGCAGCAGAAATAATGTACTTCTACATACAATTACATATTTAGATAACCCCACTTTACACGAGAGCTTTTCATAAGTAGAAAATCGGACTGGGTCAGAAAATTGATAAAGAGAAAAAACAAGGAGTAGTGAGGGCAAGTAAACCTCTACCTCTTTTTGAAGTCGAAATTTTTCTTTCTCCAAAGCCAGGAATTCTACTTTTAACATGCCTATCTCATTCTTAAACCTTTGCATATCTTGCTGTAATTCTTCTTTTAGATACACTTTTGAAGTCCTGTCGCTATGTGGCAGGGAAGAACTCACATTCTGTAATTCAGGTTCCATGCTTTTATAGTTATTAGCACTGCGATTATCACACAATGGCTTCTGGAACAAGTCCTGTATTGATTTTGTTTTCTTAAAAGTATCTGTAACAGCAGAAATACTATGCCTTTTTTTATTATTCAAATGCTTCATTTCTTTGAAGGGGGTAAGACATAAATCAAAAGAGGTATTTGGATCACTAGACTGATGTGTATGTCCGGTGTCTAATTTCCAGTTAGTGGTATTTTGGTTCATACTTTCTGTCATTTGTATTTCAAATTCTTGGTCTTCTTTCATTTCAACTGTAACTACTTCTGGGTTCCTTACTTTTTTAGTTTTTGTATCATTACAAAAATTCTCCTCATTTGTGTTAAAAACATGTTCAGTGTCTGTTTTGTTATTATTTTCACTGTCTAATTTATTGTCATTTAAATAAAGCTTAGAAGATGACTGGCAAGAGTATTCCGGGGACCCAGAGTATGAAGGAGATGGAAAGCCATTTTTCAGACTAGGTTCTTTTTGTTCAAGAAATGCCTGAAATACCACAGAGATAGTAGTATCTTTTTCCTCACAATCGAGCAAATGATTTGTCAAATTAGAGGGCATTTTCTTTAAGTTTGCTTCTCCTTTAGCGTTACCATGCAGTGGCTCTTCCTCAGGACAAGCGGGAATTTTGTATTTTTCACTAATTTCACCACACTTCGGCTTTAACGCATTTGTGCTGAGTTTCAATTTATTTTTCCACTCTAATTTGCCTTGTTTGATCCACATTTCCTCATCCTTTTGCACAGAAAGAAGTCTTGAATCTACAGATACATTCTCTCTATCACAATCCTTATCCATTTCTGGTTCTTGAGACTTTTTTTGCAGATGTAAATGTGGAAGATTAATTTGCTTGTTTTGTTTCTCGGATGTCTTTTCTGTCAGAGTGCATGTTTTTAAAATAACTTTATCCTTAAATAATCAAGTACGGGCAAAGAAAAATTAGAAAATAATTAAAAATTAACTGTTAAACTTCTTAATCTATGTTTAGCTACTCCTAACTCCCTGGATTATAACTAAGAAGTGAAAAACAATTTGCCTTATCCTGAAATACGAGGAAAACATAAACCAGCAAACTTAACTTTGTCATTATTTGTTTGGACTAAACTTAATTCATTACGTATTAAATGTACCAAAACTGAATTAGCAGATGATCTGTAGTATTACAGAGGTCCTCCTTTAAAAAGATTTTACCTCACCAAACCTTAAATAGCGAGCTGCTACAGTGTATTTCAGTACTGTTTCTGAAAATTACTAACTGGAGAGTAGGCAAATTTTACAATAATGGGAGAAAAAAATCAACACCAATCAGAAAGAAAAGCAAATTCTTAAATTTTAATTCAAATTATGTATCATAATATGATAATGTTATATATCTATACAGATTACCTGTTTATGTCCAATTCTAATATTTTAATGTCCAGTAATGACAGTGGATAAAATAATTTTAATAATATTTACTGATTTCCTACACTGAAATAAGTTAGAAAGTTACTGTTTGTACCCTAACACCAAAGGTCTCATTCTGCGAGGTATGATTCTCTCAATAGGCAGTTGGGTTGATTTTATGACCCCATTTTCTCCCTGAATATAGGTACTGAAGTCAATTAGAGACCACAAGGCAGAATATATCTTTAACCTTGGCAGTAGAGACCAGCAATATAAAATTGTAAATTTTGAACCACTGGGGATGATAACGCCTTTAACATCAATCCAACCCAGTAGCCATCACAGTGAAATTGTTCATAATTTCTATTGCTTAGTAATAGGATTCAATATTTAATGTTACCTTCATCACGTAAGGAAATCATAAAAATGGAAGATCAAACAATATTCAGGAAATTTTTTGCCTCAACTCCAAGGGTAAAGATTAGCTATAAGTTACTATGGATTCTAAGAATATTTTAAGCTTTGTAACTAGTTAAAGTATTTTTTAAATTAAATATTAGATATTGAATTATGATCTAGTGATTCCAAACCGTTAGTTGGAAAGGTCATTTCGCTTGGATTCTGCTTCATTCTTAATGTAAAGCAAACAAAACTAAACCAGAAATTTAAATTTAAATATTTTCATACCCATGGCTCGTTATTTTCCCTTCCTTCAAGACTTTCTTGCTCTTCCTCTGATGTCACTTCTTCTAAGTCATGTTCTGCTGACAAATCCATATTTTGAGTTAAAATGAATGACTTACAACAGATAAAAGCTATAATTGTAAAAATAAAAATTAACATTTATTTTTATTTTATAAATTGAGAATTTAAATGAAGCTTACTCTTTAGCAGAATATTTCCTTCTTTAAAAAATACTTCTAATTATCCAAAACTTCAACAAGCCACTTAGGGAGACACTAGATGTCACCAGGTCCAAGGCATACAAACATCTCAAAGACACACTCACAAATTCATCCACGCAACATAATATATGAACAAAAACACCAGAAACAAAATTTTAAAGTATAGTAGAAACATATAAAGTAATACTGTATACTGTTCTCTACTTCATAATAGTACCTTTTTAACAACAGGCTAAGTGTGTTGTTTGCTATTAATGGTTTGCAAAATTACTGTTACTGTTTACACCTTTATCAGTGTACATCCTATTCCTTATTTCTGAAATGTTTTTCTTTACTATTCTGACAATTTCTTTTCATCTTTTAAGACTCAGAGTGCTATGTGAAGTCTTTCCTGATTCTGGTTCTTTCCTCAGATAAACAGGCATCTCCTTCCCTAGGGCCGTCTCAGTGCTTTATCAATTTTTCTATTGTACCTCTTCCAGCTGAACTGTAAATTATTATTTCTTTACATCTCTATCCTCTCTGCTCCTAGATTGTAGGGGACAATCTTTGAAATAATCTTTGTATAGTCTTCATCTGTTTTACTCATTATTTATTGAGTTTCTGCTAAGAGCTAGGCACTGGGATTTAAAGAATATAAATAAAAAGTGTCAGGAATGGATGTTCTAGAGATAATGCCTGAGCTGACACTTAAGGAGTGAGGTTAGCCAGTTTAAAAGGGGTAGAGGGCAGGAGGGCAAGGCGGCAGCAAGAGAGGGAGAGAAGCATGAAATGCTATATGCATTTGTCTAAAGTATAGGGATTGGTGAGGAGGGCATCACCAGTAGCTCAGTAATGCCAGAGAAAAGGGCAGACAGGCAGGGGCAAAAGCTAAAGATGGAGAGTTGGGCAAAAGTCAGATTATGAAAGCCTGACATGTTTTAAGATGCTTGGATGTTAATGTTTTAAAGCGTGGTTCATGGTCCTACCTGCACTGGAGATAGACCACTCTAAATGCTGTGGGGAGGATGAATTTCATGGGAAGAAGAATAAATGGAGAGAGATGAATTAGAAAACAATATCACAAAATAAAAATGATGCAGGCCTGAACTGAGGGAATATTTCCAGAAATATTAGGATATAAAATATCAGTGGTCAGTATAGAATGAATTTTTATTAAATGAATAGATGTACAAATCTGGTTCTGTGGAGAACTAGACTCTGCTCATTACTTTAAAGATGGTATCAAATGAGAAGTGAAATGATCCCCCTGAACTATTTAAGTTTTTCATGTTTACTCTGTAGTTCTGTTTCATGTCTTCCTTTGCTGAGGGAACTCATTTAGGTGTTTTGTTTTAAAAGTCTTGCTTTACAGATCTACTAAGCTCATGAATAAATAAGAGCAAACAAGTCACTGATTGTGATACAGATGGATATTTATCATGAACTTTCAAATTCCCAGATCTTTGACAAGTCTTCTTACTGAGGGTCAAACTAGTAGAATCCCAATCTGCAAATAAAGTTTTCACTTCTTAGAACATAAATAAAAATTTGATAAACTTGTATAAATCCTTTCTTCATAGCAACAGTCTCATGTTCTGCTTTTCCCCACAAACATACTACGTCCTATACTTGCCACTCACTCAGCTAAGTTTAATTAACTACTGATTGTTTCAATTTTTCCTTTTTAGTTGTTAGTACCAATTACTTGGATTTGCTCAGAATCTCCATATTTTGTTTTCCATAGAGCTTTGTTTATTAAAATTAAAATTTTTCAGGGAAAAATTTTTCTTATCAACAATATTTATGTCTAACCATTTTAAGTTTGAATATGCTTGAGAGTATTGTGTGTGTATGTGTTCTAGAGACATGGGCTTTAAAAAAATTTTAATGACCATACTTTAAATAAAAGACTAATTACAATGAGATGGTCTTTCCTCAATGCACCTATATCTTTAGAATTTACTTCTTAAGCCTTGGATAAATATCAGAAATTTATATGAAAAATGATACACTTAAAAGTGACCTAATTGTTTGTTCCATGTAAAAATAGGATAAGTCTAGTCCACACTAGATTCAAAGAGTATAGAGAGTGCCATGAGTCAGGAAATGAATATATGACTAAAATATTTTCCTTTTTTCTTTATAAACGAAATTGCCGGATTTAAATCTTTTAAGAGAAGTGAAAGGAAAAAGCAAAAACACAGAAGTGAAACTTCAAAGGCCATTTCATCATGGAGGGCTCATTTATCATTTGACATCCACGAACTATATATATGGTTTAAAATGGTGGTTGCTATGATCTGAGAATCCCTGGAGTTCAAGATCCTTTCAGGGGATCCAAGAGATCAAATAATACAAAATGTTATTTTCTATTTTCACTCTAAGTGTATGGTGGAGTTTTTCAGAGACATGATGTGTCATAACATCATAGCTCTAATGGTTAATGGGTCATAGCGCTAATGGCTATTGGAATGTATGGCTGTCCATGTTTATATTTAATATTATTCTGTTTTAATTTCCAATATAGTAAATATCAATAGATACAACCCACTTAAACAAAAGCTCTTTGGAATCTGCAATTATTTTTATTTTTATTTATTTTTTATCAGCATGAAGATAGTTTAATTAAATGTGGTACAGTCATATAATGGAATACTCTAAAAAACTTAAATAAGAGCTACTTGTGTCAACATGGATAGATCTCAAAAATATAATGCTAAGCAAACAAAAAAAGGTACAGAATGATATGTATAATATACAACCATTTATATAAAATTTTAGGACATCGAAACAAATTCTACATATTATTTATGACCACACAAATATATACTAAAATATTTTAAAAGTGCTTGGAATGATAAACACCTAATTCAGGGTGTTGCTTACCTATACGCAATAATTTTTAATAGTATAAAAGGACCTTAAGGCCAACAGTTTCAGAATCATTATTTTAAAAGACTGTGTCTACCAAATAGTCATTAAGGAATGATTAATGACTTTCTACATTTTTAATAATCAAAGATACCATACGCATGCACGCACGCACACACACATACACACACAGTCTGCTAATCAGAATACCTGACTGGCTTAACATCATCAGTGTAACAACGCTAGATGAAATAATTAAAGTTAAAACACAATTTTGAGACTACCTAATCTTGTCAAATCTGTGTCTGTGAATAAAGCGGGTGGCATGACTAAATGAGACATTAAAGCTTTAATTAAGAAATAAAGGTTGATTACCAAATAATATTTAAAAAAAACCCACAGTTGACATATTAGCTAGTAAAGCTTCCCTCTAGGCAACAATCGGAATGCCAACAAGCATTTGAAACATTGGAAAAATTGCAGAATCTCATAACTCACCTCAGTGAATCCCCAACAAGTAAAGGGATTCCAAACTGGGAACTTTAGGGTGTCAGAACATGCCAACAAAAGCATCTGACTTAAAGCTTACATTTTTAAACTCTCTTTTTTTTATGCTTATAAGTATCCTTTCAAACATGGATACCAAAAATAACATCTGCATTATTTATGTCAAATCCTTCCATTGACTTTGGAAAAAACATTGATTAAAGAAAAAAATTAGGAATAAGAAAACTGTGAGCATTTCAGATATTTTACTATGCTTCTTTCCAGAGTTAAATTTATATTGCAAAATTTACCTGATCCGTATGTGTGTTTGTCCTTCACTCCCACTGCTTTGTTCAGAACACACTCTTCAATTTCAATGGTAGGCTGAATGGGTTTTGAAAGAAAATGATTAATAAATAATGTATATTTTATATAATATGTAGTTAATAATTCAAGATAAAAATATGAAAGTTATTACCTTCAAGTGAGGATATTTCTTAGGAGACTCTAAAAAGTAAAAGGGACATATAATCAATTATATGTAAATATAACAAAGCCAACCACACATTCATGCATAGTTAGTATCGATGTCAATCCTCATGCTTGGCTTTGAAAATGATTACTTTAGGTTTTGGGGTGGTTTTTTGTTTTTTTGATTAGAACAGCAACATGACAGAAATATAGGGAAGAAAAAATAGGAATACAGGTTTAATAAAACATGCAGTTAGGATTTTAAAAGTGAGACTATGTTTCCAATGACTGTAACTAAATAGAAAAGTGCACATCATATACCAATGTGAACATGCTGATTGATGAGGGGAAAAGTGATCATTAATCAGTGGAGAAAATCATGACCCTGAGAGGATAACCATCAAAGCTGATAGTAGAATGCTACGGCATATCTTAACACAACGCAGCAGAATCATTTGTACCATTATACCATGAGTATTTATCAAGTTCTTCAATTTGTCCTGCAATTTAGGAGGTACACAGTTGTGACGACAGTTCAGTTGAATGTATAATTCGTTTCTCATCAGAGAAAGTATTCTGAATTGATCAGCTTGGATATATACTTGTAGAGTAATAGTTAATAACAATATTCATTTTTTTCCATACCCATGTGGGCTACTGGTATGTCTACATTTCTTGTATCCTCTAGTTTAGCCATCTTAAAGTTTCTTGATCCACTCATGCAAGAAGGTATATAAAACACATCTAAGAAATAATATATAATAAGTTTTTGATATTGAAATATTTATCAAAAAGGAAAAAATTGAATTCTCCAAAATTATTAGATATAATAACATTTTATATTTCAAAATCAGTGCAATATTTATTGAAAAGAACAATTTTAGTATTCAATGAATGACCTCTATAATTTTTTTGTTTCTAAAATTAGTTTAGTTTGGCATATCACATTAGTCCTCAATGGACTTTTATGAAACAGCTATCTTATCAAAAAATCAGATATCTTAAAATCCAGCCAATACTTCTATATTCAGATTAATCTCATTTGATTAATATCAATACAACATATATCTTTGACATCTGAGAGTTATGGAGAGCAGGTATGTGTCACTGTGGTTTATCCCAATTCTAGCGCTTCCTCCTGCTTCTGCTCTGAGCAACAATAATCTAATCTTCTGTGTTAGTGCAAATACACTGAAGCCATCCAAAGTGAGTTCTCTCTCAAGTTTCCTCATCATTAACTGCAAAATTAGCTGGCTCACTTCTTTCTCTCCTCCCTCCTTCCCCACTCACAATCCCTCTTCCTTTGCAAAAGTAATCTCAAGATCTGTGGTCTTGATTCTTCCCCTTCTACCTCAGTGGGATTATTCCCACCAATTTTTTCCTCTTTATTTAGCAGTACTATCTTATATCTGTAATTCTGATTTCTTCATTTCTTTGCTCCTTCCCCTGTGGCTAGAAACACACTCAGAAAAGCAAAATAATGCTTTCCCCTGGTCCTGCTAGGTTTGAACTGTTATCCAACGGGTCTTCTTCCAGATTTCTCCCCAAGGAAGTCTATACCCTTGATACTCAGAGTGGTCCAAGGACCAGCATCATTGGCATCACCTGAAAACATATTAGAAATGCAGCATCCCGTACCTGCCGGATCACACTATGCATTGTTAACAAGGTCTCCAGCTGATTTAGTAACATCTGAGAAGCTCCGGTATACTATACTGAGAGCGCTTCCACACTACTATACCTGAAATTACCCTTTTGGAATCTAGCCTCAAGTTCCTCCCTATCACATCCCCAAATTGCAACTGCATTACATATCATAAAGTTTCTAATGGACTTTTGATCAGGCCTATAGCTTCCCTGATCTCTCCATAACCAACCCTTCTCTCTTCTTTCCAATTCCCTTATTTTGGCATATATGATACTATCCTATGAAGTAACATCATTTTATATGACATTAAATTATGCCCATGTATGGCTGACCATATATGCTTATATTCCTCTGTGGTAGACAGAACATAGCTCTGCATGATCAGTGACCTCGATCCTTAACACCTTCCCGACGGGGAGGAAGACAGGAAAAGTGGGGAAATTTTGCTCTACTTCTCTGACCATTTTTGGTACTGGAAGCTCACTTTATATTCTTCCCACCTTTCTAACACCCTGTTCTTCCTTTTATTAAGGAGTTATTTTATTTGACCACCCTGCATTATACACATCTGCTTCTTTTCCCTTCATGTACTCCCTGTACTCTGCCTTCCTCATTCTTCATTCCCTTTTATTCCTTTTCCTCTTCCTCATTTCCTGACTTTCCTCAGGTCTCAGAGCATCTTAAAATAGAACTAATAATTCAGGTCCTTTAGTGGCGCTCTCAATTTAATCCATTGTGGACACCTGATAAGATATACAACTTATCACCATTTCATTTCTCTCTTTTCTTACTATGCATTTAATAGGTGATTTTCTCTGGCTATTAGAATAAATCAGACTCATGTTTTTAAAAACATTCTATCAAATGACTTTTTACAAATAAAAATACGATTGTTACCTTCTACTTGTCCATTTACTGTATCTTCTTCTTTTTGATCTGCAGCCCCAGATAAATGATCAACATACTTTTGTGGAAGATTCTCAGAAATACTCTGTTAAAATTAATATCAATAATGACTTCCAATTTAGAAAAATAAAAATGAGTTGCTAAAGACTTCCTAATCACTTTCAAAAATAATCTAAATTTCTTATTTTAAAAGCAATCAGACTTAAAAATAAGAGCGGCATGTACTGAAAATCAAAACACTTTAATAGAGAATTCATATACACTCTTTCGATCAAGCTTATCTTGTATCCCCATATAGCTATTGACTCTGTAAACCCAGCAAAGAAGGCCAAAGGAAACATATTCACAGATAAAATATTAACTTACATGCATATTTCAAAAAGAAATGAACTACAAAATACCTAACTCACTTTGCATTCCCCACTAAAAATGAGAGCATTTTTTAAAAATACAATACACTTACTATAATACTTACAGCACTAAACATTTAAAACACTTCTAATTGTAGAAAAATTTTTAGTGCTAAAATAAGATACTTGGCATGATAAACTTTGGAGTATGGTGAGTACAAGCTGCTTCAAAAAAAAAAAAAAAGAAGCTGCTTCACATTTAGGTAAACAAAGGCTTGGAAAAATCTAAATATTTTTTCATATAATTTTTATTGATAGGAAAAATGGTTGAATAAAATGACAAAGTAGTAAGAAAAACTCTGCTTTATGTTATGTTTAAATAAAACAAGCAAATATTAAATACAGTATGCAACTCTTTACCAATTGAGAAATAACTTCAAAAAGTATAGCAAGGATGGCAGGGCTCGGTGGCTCACACCTGTAATATACTACCACTTTGGAAGGCCAAGGTTGGAGGATCACTTGAGGCCAGGAGTTAGAGACCAGCCTGGGCAACATAGCAAGATTCTCATCTTTACAAAAATAAAAAAATTAGTCTGGCACAGTAGCACATGCCTGTAGTCCCAGCTACTCAGGAGGCAGAGGTGGGATGATCTCCTGAGCCCAGGAGTTTTGAGGTTATAGTGAGCTATGATCCTGCCACTGCACTCCAGAAATGGCAACAGAGTGAAACCTAGTCTCCAAAACAGTTTTTTAATGAAAAAAAAATTTATATATACACATAGCAAGCCTTAATAACAATAGAAGAATAAAAACATTTATTTGTGAAACATCTAAAATGTGCCAGGCACTGATTTGCATATTTTCTTTTCTATACAATATAATAATAAAAGTGATTATGAAGATAGTTACCCCCTTTCCTGCTTCCTGGTCATTCTAGGATGTTAGGAATAAAATGATGAACAGATGTGATCCATTGTTCTCTCTGTCCAGAATGTCCTCCTCCTAGACTTTCACATGGCTAGTTCCTTCTCATCCTTTAGTTGACAACTTAAATGTTACACTCAGAAATATCTCCTCTCACTATAGAATTCCTCTCCCACTCTCATCCCCATCCGAACTACAATCTTCCTCAATATTCTCTAACCAAACATTCTGTTTTCTTTATAAGAAGCACTTATAGTGACTTAGTAGTGTTTATTGTTTGTTTTTTCTGTTCCTCCTAATACAGCATAAGCCCTCGTCTTGTATATTCAGTGTCTAATGGCCTAGCACATAGTTGATATTCAATAAAAGACATTTATTCAAGGCCAAAACATTTAAAATCTCATTAGGAAGGTCTCAAGGGCCGAATCACTACATTCCTATAGGATATCTCCAGCAATAGTCTGCTGAACCTTATCATACCCCAAATTAGAAATCCTCATGCCCATTCTAATCTTCCTAACTTTCCCATTCTTTCCTTGACACTACTGCCTTCAGGTTTTAAAAAAGTACATTCAATATTTATTAAGTCACTCAGTATCACTGTGATCATTTTGTCTTACATTTGTATATACACTTTATAGCTTACAAAATGTTTTCACATTGCTTACCACAATTGTTTCATTACACATATCTAAGAGGTAGGTATTAGTACCATTTTTATTAATGAGGTCACAGACATTTGAATAGGTTAAATATTTTATTCCAAGATTCCACAGCTAGAAGTGACAGAACCAGGACACTAACGTGTCTTCTGATTTCCACTTGGTGCCGGTACCACTATGTGGCAGCTGCTTCTATCTAAGAGGTTGGGCCCTTCCCATCTCTTTCCATAGTTGTCACCTTAGAATACATCATCATTATTTTATATTATAAGCACAGTTGCCACAAAGGTATTCAATGTGTTTTATTTTTAAAAATGATTTCTATTTATTAAATCCAATTGTTGCTACTATAGTCCCACATATTTACTATTCCCCATGTTTTTCCCTCTCCTGAAATGTTCTTTGCAGATCTACACTGGGCAATCCAAATATATTAATACTTTCAAGTCCCAGGTATTATCTCTTCTAGTTCCAAGTCATAAGAAAGCACAGTCCAAACGGCTTGTCTCTGAATCTCATGAGGACTTTTACACATCCATACATGCCATAGAATCATACATGTGGCCACAGGTTGACCTGAAATGATTCTTTAATCTTTAGATAAACTTAATTTCAGAACCCAAGCCAATTCCTGTGACTTCTACGCCTTATTTGTTTGTACTATAACACCCTGATTTCTTAAATAAATCCTGCAAATTATCAGAGTTGTACCATGCAGCAGTTACATTCTTAGCAAATAATTACTTTATTAATTATGGGCCAAAAAAGTAGGAAAATAATTCCTTATGGGCATATGCAGAGGTGAAAAACTAAAGTCAAAGCATTCCCTTTTATGTTTTAACATCACTCAATGCTTATATTTTAAAATAATAATAACAACATCAACAATAGTACCTCAGAATCCCAAGGTGACTCTATATCTTCTTCTTGTCCTAATCCTAATGCAGACATCATATCTATAAAATGTTATTCACAGATAAATTCATGAGAACATTTATTAGTATGAATTTTAAATACATATACAAGTCTATTTCCATTCACAAATATTTCAATAAAATAAAAGTGATAGCAAAAAGGAATTCTAGAAGGTTGAAGCAGTCTCAGGAAGAAGTTAGTAGTATGAAGAAAGACAATAAAAGAAAAATATTTAAAAGAGATGGATATTATATGAGTCTATACACATTACATTTTTTATAATAGCATTTAATAATTGAACAATTTCAGAGATATTCCCTAACTTACCACTTCTATTGTTTTTGCACACTCCATCAAAAGTCAAATTGTCATCTGTTTGCTCTGCTAGAGGACTATCAATACCGACACCATTTTCTTTTTTTCCAGTTGCTGGCTTTGTTGTTCCTTCCTATTAAAAACAAAACAAAACGTAACTTCAGAAAATGCTGTATTTATTCACTCACTCACCCACTCAATCAGTCAGTCAGTAAGACAGCAAACATTTATTGTGTCCACCAAGTCATAGGCACGATCCTGGAAGAGGCTGAAAAAATTGAATTGGAAGACAGATTCTGCCCTATACTCAAGGGGGGTAGAGAGAAGAAAAAAACTAAAAAAATCAAGTCAAGAGGATTCCTGAGTTTTCGAGATTAAAGAATTATGTGCAAGATTTGACAACCATGAATATTAAAGTTAAAAAAGCTTTGTGAGAATAATATAAAATGCCCCCATTGCTGGAGACATTTTAAAAAGTAAAAGCCGGGCATGGTGGCATGCACCTATAATCCCAATTACTTAGAAGGGTGAGGTGGAAGGACGTCGTGAGCCCAGGAGTTAGAGCCTGCAGTGAGCTATGAATGCACCACTGCACTCCAGCCTGGGTAACAGAGCAAGACCCCATCTCTTAAAATCATCATCACCATCATCATCATCTTCCACAGATAATTTTATATACTCTGTTGGTAATCTTTCCTTCTGTATGATTCTATAATAGATAGTTTATTTTAAAAAAAAATCGTAAATTTTAGTCACATTCATTTGATTTGTGCATATGTGTGTCCATTACATACAGATATACCAAAAGATAAATCAGAATATCCCCAGAAATAAATAATTTCTGCATTTATTTAAAAGGATTGCAGCAGCTTAAAATTTATTGTGTCATTTAATGTGGATGGATTAAGAATCCCCTTTATATAACCAGAAATTTTCACTAATGAAAAGATTAAATAAAATGCTTACTTTCTCTCTTTATTCTGAAAAAGATCTAAAACAGCTACTAAGATTATATTGAACAATAAGATGAATTAGTTAAGTATACCAAACATTAAGAAAGCTTAAACAAGAAACAAGAATCAAAAATTAATAATTCATAATAAAACTGACAAGGCCTAAAACAAATTTCTCTTTGTATTATCTATGAACACAGGTTTTACTAGATTAAATATAAGCTATCACTTTACTAAATTTAAAAGAAGTGAGGATTAAATTTTCTTTCCGGGTTTTTTACATTTTTTAACTGATACATAATATTTTCAGGGTACAAGTGATAATTTCATACATTCATATAATCAAATCAGGGTAATTAGGATATCCATCACTTTCTTTTCTTATGCTAGAAACATTCAAATTACTCTCTTCTGGTTATTTTTAAATGTACAATAGATTAATGTCACCTATAGCTACCCTTAAATTCTTCATTAAGATCAGCTATAAGACATTCAGAAAAATCTGGGCATTTTGTATATGACCTGGCTTTCTTAAATTGCATTTAAAATAATTTCTATCATATCTTATAGAGATCCTGCTCTCATTTAACCCCACTATTTCTGTTGTGTTTTTATAATAATCTCTCTCATCTTGGCTCTCTTATTCAATCTTTATAGTTATCTTGCCCTTCTTAAAAAAATTCTTCCCCTTCATCCCCCTCCTCATCTTCATATTTGTTGAGCTGTTCTTTTGGGTTACTTTCTAATCCTTTCCTTCCATAACGGCAAACCTAAGCACTGTTTACTCCCACCAACTTTTAATAATATCAACCTTGTACATATCTCTCCTATTATTACACACGTTTTCTGTCATGATCATGAGGACTTACATTTCTTTCTAGGATCCTTGTCATCATTATGAGGATTGAGGGATAATACATGAAAAAAGCATGGAGGAAAAACTTTTTTAAAAAAACAACTTACCTCTGTAAGACCACGGTTTGCCAGAGCCGTGAGGGAAGGTTTAGGACGAGGGCCAGGTGACGGAAAGGCAGGATGAGCAAAGGCCTGGACTTTGACTGGTCTGGAAGGAAGGCCTTCAACCACTTCTTCCTTTGGACTCTCAGAAATCCTGTCCTCAGTCAAGATTGCACTTTCCATCCTCACAGTGCCATACTGTGCTTCTACTACAGTATGAACACAGTTAAGAGCACATGAAAATATTTGTAATTAAGACTCAATAAATAACACAAGAAAAGGCAGTATTAAAATAGCTTACAATTTTTCCTGGATTGCTGAGAAGCAGTCATTAGCTTTGTTAAACTTGGTTTTGGGACATTCTAGGAAAAAAAAATAGTTTTAAGAATAACAAGTATCAAATTTGATAAAATAATTATAATATTTACCATTACTATATGATCTAACACAAACAGCACAGGTTTTAGAGTCACTCAGGTGTAGATTCAAACTTCAATTCTGCCATTTAGTCACTTACAACTTCTCATGGGGTAAGGATTATGAGAGACAATACAGATATCCCCAAAACGTTACTCCCCTAACCCCTAGGTGGTTACTATACAAATACTATGATATTCATTAGATTATTTTCTTAACCAAAATAACCTAAAACAGAACTATTTCCCTAGATAATTGAGAGTATTACTGAAAAAGCTAACATTAAGAAATTTAAATTAATTGATAAATTTTGAATTCTGTTGGCATGATTTATATTTGCACGAATTAACTCTTGTGATGGAAAACAGGATGGATTGTTGTGAAGTAGTATCTTATTTAAATGGGTTATTACTGCAAATAGTATAAATTGCTTCTATTCTGTTTGTCCAAAAGCTAAACACAAATGATTATATAGATTTAGCTTGTTCTAAGAAAGAGGAAAAAAAAAAATGAATAAACTTTGTGGGGCAATGATCAATGAACAAAAGCCACACGTAGCTATTAAATAAAAAGCCGTAACTAAATATGCTGCCAATGGAGACAGAGATGGACTAAAAAACAGACACCAAGAAAATGTGTTCTGCAAGGAAAAATAAAGGCTGGGGCAAATCATTTTTAAAAAGTGGGGGAAGAGCAAAAACAAAGAAAAAAAGAGACATAACCAGCCAATCAAGTATTAGCTCAAGCCAAGGAAGAAAAAGGAAAACATTTAAGTACCATAAGGTACGTGGAGAAATACAAATATAGAGACTTTTGTTCATAGCATATCCCTAATAGTACTGATTAGCATTTACTTTACAATCAGTTCTTTGTAAATACTTCTAGAATGAAGAGTTTAATTTCATTACTATAAAATAAATCATTCAAATAGTCATGCACGATCATCTACCACTGCCTGAAAGCTGTAATATTATTACTACTGAGAAAGAAAAATGGAAAAAGAAATGTTCAACCAATTTTCCACTTGGAGAAAGAATTGGTAATCAGAATTCTAAAGAGTAATGTATGGCTTAAAAAGATATATTTAATAGAACATGGGCTGGAGCTAAAAATAATTTAAGAAATTTTAATCTGAAATCCTAATCTAAGTTTATAGTTGGAGGATACTAGAAAATATATACTGGAACCCACTTTTCTACTTATGATGTATTTCTAATTTATTTCCTCCTTATATGTAGTTCCATATTTTAGAAATGCAATAGATTTAATTATTATAGTATGCATATTATAATACT